TCTAAAGTGAGGCATGACTATAAAATAATGTCATGGGTGCGTTTGTATGGCTCGTAAACTGACTCTCATTGAGTGTCCTAAAGGGAGTACCTTGAAGGGTTCAACAATCATTTAAATGCTTAAATCCTGATATGTTTGTTAAAACAGCCTCTTTACTTAATAAACACACTTAAGATAAACATCACCTGAGATTGAGGAAGTTTTCAAACTCAGACCTGACTGAAGCAGTGAAGACTTTCTGTGTAAACTGAGATGTTATCCCAAGTAAATTCCTTTTAGGAAAACATGAGGTCAAGACCATCCAACAGGAAAAGCGCATATGGTATCCTACTAGTTGACAGCAAAGCTATTGCAAGAAATAGTAACCTTACATTGGTTTATGTAGAGCCACCTAACACTGTGACAACCTCAGGAAGCTACAAATACGTCTTTGGAGCAGGCACCAGCCTACAGGTTTTAGCAAGTGAGTTTTACAGACAAGATAGACTTTATTTTAAAAGTTGTTGGTGTTTGAGGGGCAAGGGATGGTAAAAATACTCATTATAAACTATGGAAGCAAAAATTACTGCTATCTGAAGTGGCAATTCTGGGTCCCTCTCCTCTGGACCAGGGGGTGAGGGAGAGCTCTGAGGCTCACCAGGATGGACTTACCACCAATTTCATAAAAAGCATATTTATCATTAGAAACTTATTAGCCTAAGACCCTGAGAGACTCCTCTAAACATAGGAATTCTGTGTTCTTTGCTCTTTTAAAACTGTATTCTCATTCCACTTTTTTCACTCGCTTTTCCTACCCTCTTTATGTCTCGCTCCCCCATCCAATTCAATGCTTCAGCTGGGCATTCATATTTTAAGAAACCATCATGTCCACTTCTTAGCCCGTCACTTACAGCTCTCTAAAATCTGAGCCTTTCCATTCTCCAAGCTTATTTCCAGCTATTCCCTTCCACAAATGTTCTGCTCCAGGCAAACTGGACACCTACTTCCACTGAATGCTTGCGCGTGCCACACCTGTACCTCATGTCCATAAATCAGACACCATGAACCCACTACTGAAAACAGAGTTGCACACATGAAAGAAATTGTTTTTTAGCCAGGAGACCCAGCACAGGTGTCACCAGGCTTAATTTCATAGGGAGAATTTGAGAAATTATATCCTTTTTTAAAAATTAAGGATCCTTGGGTAAGAGATCCAGCAGGCAAATAGCAAAGTAGGAAGGAAGGAGTTGCTTCTGTAATGGGTGTGGGAAGGAGGGATCTCTTATGGGAAGATATTCTCTGGAGGAGAAACAACACTGACTAAATCCAAGTAGGAAATTCATGGGCTGCCATATTACCTACGTGTTTCTTGTTTCCCCTCTTGAGTGGTCCATTCCTAATTGTTGGTTGTTAAGCCCCTGGTCCTCCAGGTCTCCAGAAGTGGGCAAAGAGGGAGGAGATCACACTGTACACTCAGCAGTAGTGTGCGTGGAGTTTCCGTCTCAGATTTTCCTTCAAGTTACCTCAAAATTGAGAGAAGCTCAAAATGCTCACTTAGGATAGGAGAAGCCACCCGTAACAGAGTGATTTCAGTTTAGTCCTTGAGTTGTGTTATCTCCCCAGAAAGGGACAGAGAGAATGGAAAAGTCTCCACAAGGACAAAGGTAGAAAGTGGTAAACGTCCTTTTCCTGGTGACCGTCTGAGCAGGGGGTGAAAAGGTCTGGAGTTAGAGTCAGGGTGAATTCTAGGGCTGACCAGTGCCTGCGGCTATCTCTTTGTGGAATGAGAAAAGATGGGATTCCCCTTAGATGTTCCAGGAGCTGGACCTCGGCCAGGGGTGTCTGGCTTCAGTACCCTGAAGGAGTGGACCAATATGCTGACCCCTTTTGCCAGGCAGGCAGTGGCAGCTGCCCTCAATCTCTCCCACTGTGATGACAACATCTCTACCTGCTTTGGCTTTGCTGCCTGGACGTGAACTGTTCCTAGGTTGTCCAAATGAGGTATAGGATCTTCAGCTGGAGAATTGTTATCTAAAACACCAGAGGATAAGCTAGGATTTTGGGAGTGGGTATTCTGGGCTTGTGTAGGAAAACTCCTTCTTTAGAACATTTAGAAAGAATATCCTTCGTTTATCCAATGTGGAAACAGTCCTGAAATCCAAGCTGGTGCTAGGATTCTGTGCCAGGTTATTACTGTGACAATTACTTAATATTCTCTGTGCTCACGGTATCGCTCCTTCCAGAAGATCTTTAGGGAAAACTTAGTTTAGTTTCTAGGAGGTTTTTGCTGAGCTGAAGATCACTGTGTGAATGCTTATTCAAGCAACATGCTCACATTTGGAGGGGGAACAAGGTTAATGGTCAAACCCTGTGAGTATCTCTCCTGAATCCATAATGTATGCTCTAATTTCTAAAGGAAACTATAGCTCTGAGCTTCTTTTGGGGGCTGTTTTCTCTACCCAATTTTATTTTTTATGTTAATTCTAATCATTAATCCTAACCATTATACAGTACATATGTGTCATATGTACATGTGAAAACGGGCACATATGTAATTGTCTGGCACAGAAACGAATGAACCAGAGAATAATCGATTCCTTGTCCTTCTGTCTTATCCATTTGGGTCAGCAATTGTGATTATATTGAACGTGGGGATGGATGAGCACTGGAGTGGGAGAATCCTTCTCCAGCGCCTTGGTCAGGGTTGCACCACCCCTTACTGGCCTGGTCAGGGGGCAGCTAGGTCTGGAGGTGGAGGAATGAACGGCTTAACCTCAGAAGAGCCTTTCCATCCCCACCATGCTGTGAATTGACCATGATAATAAACAGTCTTCTCAGCTGCCTCTTTGGCCAGGATCCCAGCTGGAGGAGCACACCAGCCAGATTTGGGAATTGAAAGGGATTTCCTAGTACGCATTAGCCTGGTCGGTTTCTGTAAAGCTTTCTATGACTGTGTAATATTGGCAACAACCGTAAACTGATTTGGGGATTGGGGACAAGTCTGGCAGTAAATCCAAGTGAGTCTTCAAATTAACTCTCTCAAACCTGTCTGTGCAGTTTGAAATAGCTCGGATACTGTCTTCTTTTTTAGTCCTAATGTTTAAAATGTGCAGTTATGGCTAGTGTTTTTCTCCTGTCCACCCAAGCTGAGCCCTTGCCTACCCTTCAATCAAAAGAACTAGATAAAGGGTCCAGAAGTGCATGCTAGCAAAGCAGTTGGAATATTAAGACTGGTTTTTTGCAGAAAGAGCTGTCAGGGAGCATTAAGAGTTAGAGAAGATGAGACTATACATCAGGTGTCATGGCCTACTTAGTCCCTACTGTGCCAGCTTCACCATGGGACATTGGTAAATACTGTTTCCCCCAGCCAAAGATAAGTCAAGTGCTGCTGGAAACTACCAGGACTTAGGGCCATCCCAGTGACCTGGAGAACATCTCGACCCACAATGGATTATCCAGAATGACTCAAACGTGCCATATAATTCCTGCATCTCTCAGTCCTTGTTAGTTTACAGCTTTATGGTGGATTTGCTAGAATAACAGGAGAGGAGTTGGTTTCATCCTAATTCTGCCCTCCCCTGAGAAATGCTTGTCTCCAAGAATCTTCAGAAGCATCCTAGAGACCACCTAGCCTGTTCAGAATTGTGCTTTGTACAACCAGACTGTGTTCCCAGCAGTGTTTGCTGTGGCTTTGGCTGGGGCTAGCTCCCAGGGCAGTTGTGGAGCTCCAGGCTTGGCAAAGCTCAGCGGGAGGAAGGGAAGTTGTGTAGTGGAGCCAAGGGGCTTCAGGAAAGATATCTTTGATATAGGCATTAATGAATTTCTAAATGAGTTTCTGTGTGTTAACCTGATAAGACTCTCCAGGGAGAAGGTCACCCTTACCTTTGCAGCTCTAAATGTAAGACATGTGTTGCAAGAAAAAATGAGAAATGTCAATTGCAGTGCCAAAATGAAGAGATTGGGTATAAATATTGAACCAGTTTTGATGTTAAGTTTATGAAATGTAAGCTTTTCAGGAGAACCAGCTCAGGGTACGTTTATCAGGATCAAGGATCTATTTTGTCAGTGTTACCAGTGTGCACACTTTTAAGAAGAACCCAAAATAGAAAAAAAAAAAAAAGGCTAATGAAAGATATAGTGTAGTGGTTAAGAACATGAATTTTGGAATCAAACTGCCTGGGCAAACCGTAACTCTGCTGTTTCCTGGATGTGAGACCTCAGGCGGGTTACCCCATCTCTTTATGCCTCATTTTTGTCATCTGTACAATGAGGTAATAGTAGTACCTACCTTACTGAATTGTTATGAGATTAAAAGAGCTAATAGCTATAAAGGGCTTTGCATCGTGCGTGGCTGGCACATAATGAATCTCCACAAATACTAGTTATCATTACTAGGTCAGGTCACTGGAGGGAAGGAAGGGGGAAAAATCTCCTGCAAAAGTTTTTGTAAAGTGCAGCATCAGAGTGTCACTCTAGCAGCACAGGAAAACTCATCTTTGGGCAGGGGACAACCTTACAAGTAAAACCAGGTAGGTCTGAGTGTCCCCGTGTGAGCTACAGCTGCCCACTGTGTTCGTTTTTTGGGTACTATTCTCTGCTTTTTCAACTTCTAACCAAAGACTCTTATTTGTAGGTTTTATTTTCCTTTTATAAATGTTAGTAGAATGTGTGTAAAGCCTGGCTAATAGAGTCTTTTCTAACCCATTTGGGTTAGAAAAGCTAGAGGCAAAAAGGGGGGCAAGACTTGAGGTGAGTTGGGTCTGGAATTTCTAGGCTAAGACAGAGAGAATATAAGCTTGGCTGACATTCGAGAAATAACAACATCAAATGCGAGAGGGTCACAAAAAATAAAGATGGTTTTACATAATAATATACTAGAGTAGAATTCTCAGAACTGTCTTTCAGGGAGAAAACTGTCTTTCAAGCATGGGAAAGAAAACTTTTGTTTAAAAAAAAGAAGTGAGGAGGAGAGAAGGGAGAATGTTGGTGATTTGGATTTTTTGTTAAGAAAAATGGAAGACAGCCTTTTCCATAGGATGGTTTTTAAAAGGTTATCACTAAGTAGGAGTCGAAAGGTGTATAGCACACCCCTGGTGAGCTTTATAGAGGAAAAAGAGGAAGAAAATTTAGCGAAGTGTTTTTGTACTGGGCAGAAACACTGTGCTAATTATGGGGCAAACCAGCTTGTCTTTGGAACTGGAACAAGACTCACCATCCTTCCCCGTAAGTCTTTTACCTCTTGAGAAAAAGCCCTTAATCTATAATGACCAGCTCTCACATCCCAGACACCTAATGCATTTCTAAATGAGCTTCCGTGTGTTAACCTGATAAGACTCTCCAGGGAGAAGGTCACCCTTAACTTTCCTGCCTCTAAATGTAAGATGTGTTGTAAGAAGAAATGGGAAATGTCAATTGCAGTGCCAAAATGCAGAGAGTGGGTATAAATATTGCACCAGTTTTAATGCTACGTTTATAAAATGTAACCCTTTCAGAAGAAGCGATTCGAGGCACATTTGTTAGTTTGTTTCTACACAGCACGATTGTCCAGTTAATTTGATTAATGTCTGTAGCTGATCCAGATATTTAGGCACTTCCTTGAGAAAGCGTCTTTGTGTTCAAAATTGCCTGAATTGACTGTCACATTACCTAAATAATTGCCAGATCTGTTTTACTTTGTGCTATATAGACTCAGCCTAATAAAAACAAATGCTGTTGTGTTTTTTCCCCAGTCTGTGTCCTCTCCACACAAAATCTTTTCCTTCTCTTCAACAGCATCACTTCACACAAAGAAAACATACCCAGCAAGCCATTTGACTTATTGCTGCTGCTATTTTGCATTTATATGACTCCTTTCCTTGGAAGAGATTAAGACGCTTCATGCGACTTATTAGTTTAACAGATTGACAGCCTAATTAGAAAGAGAGAAACAGATTCTGAGTATCTTTTTGTGGCTGCTGTTTGTGCCTCCTCATGTAAAACATTTCATCAGATTGCTCTGCAAGACAGAAATAAGGAAGGGAGATAGTCTTCATTGGTAGTGTTGGCCTTCTCGGCTGCAGGTAAGAGGTTATTATAAGAGGTAAAACAGTACTAAATAGGTCAGGGCAAGTGCCAGTGTCAGGAACAGTTCTTTCCCCTAGAACTCAGGGGTTCTCACAAAGCAGAGAATGACAGATTTTAACATCAGCTGTTGGTGTGTGTGTCTACTCTTTTTACTTCTGTTTCTAGACTCTTCCACTCCAGGTCTCTTCCTTCCATCTCTACCTTCTCTGTCTATCTCCTTTCTCTCTCCTTTGATTCCTGATGACCATGCCCACTTCAACACCATCCCCGCCATATACTGCCACTTGCCTCTTCAGCCTGTCAGTTGTATTTCTGAGGAGTTTCTTAGCTCCTTGAGTGATCCTCAAGTGGCTTCAGCAACTGAGGGAAACTTCCCTGAGGGTGGGCTCTAACAGAGCCCCCACAGAGGTGGCCACCATGGGCCACCAAATGCCTTCATGAAGGCTGGAGCTGGGGCCAGGATGAGGAAAAGCTTCTGGAGGAAGTTCTGCCACAGAATAAGGAATACCATGGCTTTCATGATACATGTGTCTGAATCCTCTCCTACGTTGGAAACTGTAGCTTCCACCTTGGGACTCAAGACGTGTGGCCACAAAGAGGTGGCAGTGTTTTTGTAGTAGAGTCAGCCATTGTGGGCAGACAGGCTTTGGGGGTGTGCTGCATTTCGGGTCCGGCACTCAAGTGATTGTTACACCACGTAAGTGTGTCTTTTCTCATTTCTGTGGGCTTGTATGTATTTAAATCATATACAGGAATTCTTTTTCCCCCCATTTCTTGGCTAGTCACTGATGTGGTGCAATTTCTGGATCTAGCTACACTGCCAGTTTGACCATTAGGATGGTCAAATTTATTTTTAAAAATAATTTTGACTGGTTTCATTTAATGCTGCCAACAGCAAAGGGCAATTAGCATGTGATGGGGACCTAATCTATGCTCATGCAGTGCTGTGGAAGGACAGTCATTTCTTCCTATCCCCCGGCATTTAGCCCTCAAAATTCAGCTGAGCTTTTCCAGGCCTGACTCTTCTTGCAGATTAAGTGATTGTGTCCACTAACTTTCTTGTGGAAAAACACACAAGACAGATATATTCTCCTTCAGTTTTTACTAAAAAAGCTGTCTGTTAGTTTTTTTGACAATACACTTCAGCCAACATGTTCCCTCCTATTCATGTTACTAACATCTTGGCTTGAACCAGTATATTTTCCCTACATTATTCAAAATGCATTTCTATGTTGTAACCCACGGTACCACCACCAGCCCTTTATCTTCACAACATTCTCTCATAAGGTAAACAGGGTCTCACATCATCAAACACATTACACAGACAGAAAAGTCAAAGCACAGACAAGTTAGATAATTTAAGTCAAAAAAATCAGAACTGGGATTAGAGCTAAGATTCTCCATTTGCTCAGAGTGAATTATCTTCAGCTGTCACCTTTGTGAATTGAAAACATAATAAGCACAGACCATAGACATTTGCAGAAAATGAAACTTAACCAAAACAAAAACTGTGTCATTGCATCGGTGTTTTAAATGTATCCCCAGATCTTCTTTGCTGCTGGTAGTTATTTGGTGCCAGTGACAGGAAAGGGCAGAGGGATCAGACATAAAGGCAGAGGGCCCTGTTGGGTTCACGGGGTTTTTGTAAGCCTTAGTATCACTGTGTACTCCAATACCAACAAACTGATCTTTGGGGCTGGAACCAGATTACAAGTCTTTCCAAGTAAGTACTAGAAACCAAGGAGTGATTTTGAAAAGGTGTTTTCTATAAACAGCCACCTCATTTTTGTACGTTCTCACAGGACTGCAGACCACTCGTGCCAACTTGTGGCTCTTTACGGGTCGTGCACGCCTCTCACTGCCTGGGTCCATGTTCCCTCAGGATGCCATTTCTCACACATAGAACTCTCTGTAAACCAAATCAGTTTAACCTGGATGTGAATATCATGGTTCTGACTAGAATCTTATCAGCAGTGAAAATGACACTAGAGATTCAGATGCATAATGACGCCAAACAAATGATCTGTTTCTCTCTTTTGCATTTTTATGTAAAATATCAGGGAAGGTGAAGCAAGTTCAACTTCTCCGATTTGAAAACTGTTGATGAATTATGCTTCCCTTATGTGCAGAGAGACCTGGCTTGACTTTGGATGTTTAGTCATTCGATCTCATCCTCTGTGTCTGGAATCTATAATGCGCAAGGGAACAAATGTAATTAAATGAGCAAATAATCTTCAATAGTCAATATTCCTACATTGTTTTATGTGCTTTGCTCTGGACTTCTTATCTGGGCTTTATCTCTAATAAGCTCCCCAGAAGGACAGTGAAGGTTTTTGTTAAGGTCTTTGTGTCTGTGTGAATAGCAACTATTTGTTGATCTGGGGCTCTGGGACCAAGCTAATCGTAAAGCCAGGTAAGTTTTAGAGATGTGACTGTGAGGGAGAGAAGACGAGTTGAATAATATACGAAGCATCCCATGCAAACTATACTTTTAAGAATAATCCAGCCTGCCGGAGACAATGCAGTTGACCCAAATGGGATTTTCACTCCCAGGGAGAGGCAATGTCAGCCACTAACTCTCGTTTGGTCTAGTTGATTCCAGAATGAATAATGCTTAACTAGCCTTCTAAGAAAGCAGAGGTGGGTTGCTAAGGAGTGTCTAATTCCCTCTGATATGTTTGGAATTCTTTCCCTAAGATAGAACCAGCCTCATTCCATTGGAACAGCGAATTCAGAGAAAAGGGAAAGGGCCACAGTCAGATACCAGTGGGTCAAAAGTAGCTTGTCTGCAGCTCTCCCACATCCTTGCCTCGGGCTGCTGCGCCGTGTGGGGAGCAGATGTCCGCAAAGTTCCCAGTCACTTGCTGGTGAATCACCAAGTGTTCTGGGCCTTAGCACAAGCCCCACAAGGACATAACGTAAAAGACAGCATCAGGGCATGTCAGGGGAACATGGAGGCTGGAGGGATGCCTTTGCAGTGGTGGGACCAAGGTGTTCTTAGCCTGGAAAAACTAAGCCCATACTCACGCATCCCACCATGCCCCTTCCTGAGGTTATTGTAAGGCTCTGAAGGGCTGTGTGAATTATGGGAGTGCTGCAAACAAGCTCGTCTTTGGGACTGGCACCCTGCTTTCTGTCAAGCCAAGTACGTGAGTAATGAGATTGTGTGTCCATAGCAAGTGGGAAGTAACAACCACTCTGGTGAAAAGGAGAGCCGAAGGTAGACTTGGTACCCTATGGTCATCCCTTATCTACCACAACATGGCAGGCTCTCAAATTTTCCCATTCTCCTGGATGGGCCCCCACGGTCAGAGAAGGGGAAATGAGCTATGTTAAGATAAATCCCAGGAAGAAAAACTGTGGGAAAATTATTCCCATCTCAATGCTGCAGGTGTTCTGCTCTATGACCCTGTTTCCAGGGCATTTATCAGCTCTGGTCCTACCTGTACCTGTACAGATACAACCTCTGCTAACCTGTTCTCACAATTGTGTGGTCCAAGAACATTCTTCTACAGGGCATATCTCCTTTTTCTCCAAATGAGACTCCAGAGCTATACTTGGAGAGATTACTGAGAAGGCAGGAAAAACTGGCCCGGGGCTAGAGGAGGGCAAGGAGGGGGCTTCAGGTAGGTTAGTTCAGTGTTAAAACTGTGACCCAAGTAACACCTTCCCTATATTTCCTACATATGCTTCCCCTTTCATTTTCCCTAGAATATGTCCTTTTGGTTTTTTCTGGACACCTACTGCTCCCATACATCTGTTTAGAACTCTTTCTCTTCAAATCTGAAGAATCAAAAAGTCACAGTCATGTTGGAGATGAGATCAAGCCTCCTTCTCTCTCCAAGCTTAAAACTCTGTCACTCAAGCTCTGCTTTGAACCAAGACCTGGTATCACACTATCTTGGATGCTCACTCCTCTCTCTGTTCTTCAGTGCTTAGAGTATATGGAAACCCAGCCAGTGCTCAGCTTTGTGATAAAGGGCCTCTCATGTGCTCTTATCCTTGCCTTTAGGATACAACCATTTTTATAACACAAAATGTTCACTTCTTCCATTTATTTCGGGATTGGACTTTTTTAAAGTGTAGGAGATGGTGTGTCCTAACTCCCCACCTTTGCCTGTCTGAAACATCATGAGTCCATGATGGAACTTCTTTGGGAA